GAGTGCCTCGACCCGCCAGCCCGGGTGCCCCTGACGTGTGGCTGCTCCGGTTCCCAGATCGCGGCGAAGCTGGAGCCGCTGGGCGAGGAGGAGGAGACCCGTGCCGACCTGAACCCCTGCCGCCGGCAGCCCTCGGGCTGCACCATCTTCCTGGGCTTCACCTCCAACCTCATCAGCTCGGGCATCCGCGAGACCATCCGCTACCTGGTGCAGCACAACATGGTATGGCCCCTGCCCCTCCCCCCCCGGCCCCTGGCCACTGCGCCCCCCCCACTCCCGGTGTCCCTTGGCACTGAGCACCTGTGTCCCCGAGGATCCCTCCCAGAGCCATATCCCCCCATTCCCCTCAACCCCAGTGCTGGGCTCCGACACCGAACAGCGGCCACCCCGCCGACCCTTCAGCTGGGGGCTCCCAGCACTGGGGTCCCAGGGTGGGGGGGTCTGACAGGCAGGGGTCCCTGTGCCGCGCAGGTGGACGTGCTGGTCACCACAGCAGGCGGCGTGGAAGAGGATCTCATCAAATGCCTGGCACCTACCTACGTGGGGGAATTCAGCCTGCGGGGGAAGGAGCTTCGGCAGAGCGGGATCAACAGGTACAGGGGGTCGGGGGCCTGCTCCGGTCTAGCCGGGAGGGCGCACGGCTGGGAGGCAGGACTCCTGGGTTCTCTGGGAAGGGAGTGGGATTGAGGGGTTGGGGGGGGGGGGGGGGGGGGGGGGGGGCCAGGACTCCTGGGTTCGGTCCCTGGTTTGGGAGGAGAGTGGGGTCTAGGGGTTAGAGTGGGGAGGCTGGGGGTCAGGAACTGATGCTCTAGAGGTAAAAGGCTCCATCTCCTGTTCCCAGCCACTCCGCCAGGATCCTCTCTGCTCCCCCCGATCTGTGGGGATCAGGACATGCCAGCTGAGTCCCTGTTCCTTGGGGCAGAGTGGGCTTGTGGAGAGGCTGAGTCCAGCTCGTTTTGGGGGGGCCGGGGGCTGAACCTGCTTGTTTCTCTCCAGGATCGGGAACCTGCTGGTGCCCAACGACAACTACTGCAAGTTCGAAGACTGGCTCATGCCCATCCTGGACCAGATGGTCGCTGAGCAGAACGTGGAGGTGAGAGCCAGGGGGTGGGGGAAGCTTCAGGGGAGGCCGTGTCCCAGGGGAGGGGATGGTGCTGGGCCTGTAGGACGCTGGGAAAGTCTCTGAC